AATGGCAGCGTCATGGTGGCCACTGCTGAGGTCCCTGCGTCGCGCCCCAGGCTGAATGACAGGCTCTGAGCACTGGCCAGGGGGCGGACTGCAGACTTCAGGGCAGAGGCCGGCGGGGGCCGGGGACGAAGCGGTGGCCAGCGAGGATGGGGAAGTTGGCGGGCGGCCGTCTTGAGCAGCTTCCCTCACAGCCGCTCCTGCGCCCGGCGAAGCGGGGTCTGGCGCGGAGAGGGCGGGGCCCCTTCTCCAGTCACCTGCGCCAGCGCCCTGCGGGCCGGCTGGGGGCCCGGTGGGGGGGGGCTGGCTGGGTGCCCCACTGCTCCGCCCCCTCCTGCCCGCTGCAGCCTCGGCGAAGCGCGCCCGCCGCCCCGGCGCAGAGAGCGGGCCCACCGTGGGCATCGCGAGCCGAGGGGCGAAGGAGCATCGAGTGCCGCGGCGGCTGCGGAAACGGCGTCCCTCGCCTTCCCCACCCAGCGCCTCCTCAGCCCTGCTCAGCACGTGGGGTCCGGAGTCTGGACTGGAGTCCCGCTTCACCCCTCGTGAGTCCGACCCGAGGGGCTGCACTTGGCCTCCCTGAGCTCGATTCCTCCCCGTGCTAACAGCAGCACCGACCCCGGGGGGCGTCAGGACCACCCAGTGAGACGGAGCCTCCAAGGTGCCCGCCGAGCACATTCTAGGCCGTACAAGGACTGTGGCCTCAGAGGAGCCTCTGAACCCATCTGGGCCCCGTTTTCCCCATCTGTGAAATGGGAACGGTGGTTGTAAGGATTAAGTAAGGTAACTCTGAAAGAGTCTAGCACAAGGCTTGGCACACAGTAGGTGCTCAACAAATGAGCACCCACTCCTCCCTTGAGCCAAAATATGCTTTTGAATCCCTAGAGTCAGGGTGAAGAGATGCCTGGGCTCAAATCCCAGCCTCCCAGGTACACACTGTGTGCCCCTAGGCAAGTTACTTATCTTCTCTCGGCCTCAGTTTCTTATCTGTAAAATGGGGCAATAATAGAACCTCCCTCAAGGAGTGAAGATCCTGAAGATTCCAGGTTTATATACGCAAAGTACCAGCGCCTGACACGGAGCAAGATACTCGAGATTATCACCACCTGCGGCTTGGCGCTGCCTCAAAGCAAATGTGAGCGCTGGTTATGGTGGGCCGGGGGCTGGTGAGAGCCCCTGGCAGCTTCCTGGATGTTCCCTTCCTCCCTCACTCCGACCCTTATCCACAGTTTTACTTTCTGCGGTTTTAGTTACCTGCAGCGAACTACAGTCCAAAAATATTACATGGAAAACTCCAGAAATAAACAATGCGTAAGTTTTAGCGTGATGAAATCTCGCACCGATGTGCCTCATCCTTTGGTCCAGCATCTCCACACTGTGGACGCTGTCGCCTGTCAGCCACTTCACCGCCCTCCCGGTGGTCAGATTGGAAACACACAGTACACGTAGGGTTCGGTACTCTCTGCGGTTTCAGGCATCCACTGGGGGTCTCGGAAGGTACCCCCGCAGATAAGGGGGGCTACTGTACGTTCCCGCCTCCCGTGAGGTGGGGGTCAGGCCCCTCTCCCCCCAGCGGTCTAGTCTGGGCTCCTGCGCCTGCTCCCGCAAGGGGAGGCGAAGCTGTTTGGGCTCCTGGGCGTAGGCAGGAGGCTGACGCAGGGAGGGCCGTGGTGCTGAGGTGGGCAGGCCTCAAGTGCCAGGCTGAGCGCAGGGCGCTGCACGGAGAGCAGGGTGGGCTGCGGACGGAGGGGAGGAGGGTGAGCTGCCGGCAGCGCAGGCTGGGCGCTCAGAGCAGGGGGACGCAGGGCCGAGCGGCGCAGCCCCCACCAGCACAGCTATCAACGGGGATCCGGGGCCGAGAACAGTCAGGGGTGAGCTTGCAGGGTGGCAGCCAGCCACCACCGCCCCGCCTCGGCCATCCCCAGGTGAGCTAGGCGAAGTCACTCGCTCTGTCGTGCCTTTTAAGGCGATGGTGGCTCCCACCACCACCTCCCTGTTCCCACTTGCTCAGAAATTCCCAGCAGGTATTTTTTTTGTCAGGAGGAATGGAATGAGACTCCTTGTTCTGTCACCGCAAGATTCCAGCGAGGCCTATCTGGGGGTTCTGGTGAGAGGAAAGCGTGACAGGAAGCACATGCCAACAGGCACCTGGAGATGCGCCCTCAGTGACATGCACAGGCACGGGCGGAGAGACAGAGACCCGCCGTCCCACCCACCACAGGCCCTCAGAAATGCCGGGGACCCCTGCAGGCCCCCACTTCAGGATACCCAGGCAAATACACAAACATGGGTGAGGCCCAGAGACGCAGGGACCCACAGTAAGCACTTATTGAGCACCTACTGTGAGCCAGTCTCTGTGCTAGAGAGGGGCAGGGTCCAGCAGGCAGCAAGGCAGGCACAGCCCACCTTCACAGACCTCCTCCCTCGGGAGCTCCATCTGAGCCCAGAGCCTCCTTCCTACCCCAGGACCTTTGCACCTGCTGCTGCCCTGCTTGGCTGTTGTCCCCAGAGAGCTTCGTGGGCTGGATCCTTGACACCCTCAGGTCTCACAGAAGCCTCCCTCCAACTCCCCTTCCCCCCTCACCCCAGACCCCACCATCACTGTATGCCAGTGGCCTGTTTCATGTCTTCCCAGCAGCCAGCACTTCTACAATTTTGTTCCTCTGTCCGCTGTCTGCCCCCCAGCTGGAACCAGGCTCCTGGAGAGAAGGGCCTTTGCGTTCTCAACTGCTGCCCAGCACCTGCAGGACTTCGGAGGTGTGAAGCTGACCCACCTGGGTGGCCGGCTCCCCATGCTGCCCACGAAGCCGACTGCCCGTGCACCTGCTCGGAGCCGCTTCTCATTTGCCTTCACAACCACTGCATCTCCGTTTCCTTCAAATGACCATGTCCCTTCTGGGTTGGGGTCTGCCTCCAGGGTGGGCCCACAAATGAGCCCAAGATTTGATGGAGGTTGAGGCTGGGAACTACGCTGGGATGTGCCCAAGGTCACCCCACTGACCACAGGCAGGGCAGACAAGGAAGATGGAACATGGGAGTGGCTAACAGTGAGGGATCAGCGCCCATCAAGCAAGCCTGCCCAAGGGCTTTCTGTGCCCTGGTGACACACGTGGACAGGTGTGGCTGTGGTGCCTGCCTCCACTTGCAGCCTGCACGTGCATGTGGCCCTGGATGTCTGTGTGGACACACACACGTATGTGCCTGTGTTCCTGGAGCCCACATCCCGTCATCCTGGCCACGCCCACACCTGGGCAGCGCTCTGGGCAGGTCCAAGGCCTTTCCTACCCGGGCTGGGCAGGTAATGGGGCTCCAGGCCCAGTCCCAGCCTAAGTGAGGGGTACAGGCTAAGAGGCCAAGGAGGGGGTAGGCTGGGGCCCCCACCCAGCTCAGGGCCGGCATCAGGACTTGACCTGGGGAAATCGATGAGGCTCCCAAAGTCACCACCCAGAGGACCAGGTCTCATGCCTGGCCCTGCCACTAAGTAAGGTACCTGATGGCCTTGGGTCGGTAGGTCCTGACCCCCTCCACCTGTGCACTCGACTCTCAGGACTGTGTGGAACATCCAGAGATGCTGGTGAGGAGGGGACTTGGGCCCTCCTGGGCTGGCACAGCCAGGTGCCGCTTTCACCCTCCGCCGCCCAGGCCCAGGCCGCAGGAGCCAGGGAGGTGAGGCGCTGTGGAAGGGGGCCCCTCCCCCATGCCGAGTTGAGAAGCGGGTGGAGAAATGCTGAGCCAATACACCAGGGAGGTTCCCATTGTATACCCCTCTAGCTCTTGATGACCTTGGGACATTTTAAAACCTCACCTTGCTCCAGCTAGGGACAAGCCATCTCCCCAGTTGGTCATCTGGCATAGCACCATACACAGCCTGCAGATGTACCCTGTACTGAGAATTCTGTCCCCAGCTATGACCACCCCAATACCAATGAGCAAGCCGAGACATGCAGGTGAACCCAGATGACTCCTGGATGAGCCAGTCACTGTGTAGGCAGGGGGCAGTCAGCTATTCCAGCTGTTGGCTCTGCCCACCCCTAGCTCAGTGGGACTGAAGCAGAACGCAGCACACAGCCACAGCAGCACAAGGTCAAGAGGAAGCATCCAGAGGAAGACACCTGCTAGGCTTCCAGGTAGGGCCCCAGCTTTAACAAAACCCATTGCGATTTCCCAGGTCACCTGGCTTCAGGGTAGGCCAGAGGGGCCAGATCAGAGGCGTTCACCAGCCAGCCACTCACCAGGAGCAAGAGCACAGCAGGGCCTTTAACAGCCCCGGGCCAAGCATCCCAGTGGGGAGTGGAGACTCTGCCAATCCAAGCCCCAAAAGGAAGACCCCAGCCCAGAACGGACACGGGCACTTCAAGGGCATGGGCTACTACTAGGTTTTCAGCTGGCTGAGCCTGGGCAGGCTGCTGCGGGCCCACATGGCTCACCTGGATGATGAAGCTAGGTGGACACACGAAAACTAAAGCCTTTCTCAAAGTCGGCACTCCAGGCGCTGCGTAGGACTTCTGCATGGCATGGCCCCCTCCCAGACCTTCGCTACAAATTACACAAGAACCTAAACAAGCCTTTACTGGAAACCAGCCGTGCATGGATTATACAAGCTCAATTCGCTTTTCTGCACACGCAACAGACCCAGGGTTTGTTGTGCCACGCCAATCAGCCCCGCCAAAGGCACCAGGGAACATTCAGTCCTGCTTGTCTTCCCCTCTCTACAGCTCTGGCATCAGCCAAGCTGTGCAAACAGAACTGACTTCTACCGCACAGACCCAGCTGCCTGGCCCAAGGTGACAAACATTTACACAAAGCCTCAGGCTGGCTTTCAACAACTCAGGGGCAAACCCAGGCTTAGCTTTTTACCTCCCTACAGGTAGCTGGGAGGTCAAAGAGCAGACCAAGTGCAGCTAAGGAGAGGAGGGAGAGGGAGAGGAGAGCAGCACAAGGCCCCTCACGCTACCGCCTGCCTCCCTCCCATCCCAGCTGCTTCCCTGAACAAAGTCAGAGGCAGATGTCATTGGAAAACAGCTTTTATTGAGATCCCCCCAGCTATATAATCTGTTCCTGACATTAAGCTCCTTCTTCCTTGGCAATTCGGTCCTTCTTAAGTGGTCCCTGTGGGGAGAGACGCAGTGGGTTAGGTCAGAAGTAGATGAAGAAGGCAGGACAATGGCACGGATACCGACACTCTAGACAGGACCAAGATTCTGGGTCAATAAGGCAGAGTTCTTTCTTAGGACCCAGGGGGCAGCTAAGGGGCAGCTTAGCTGCTTCCTTCTGCACCAACACCACACAGGGGGGCAGAGCACCCAAAGCAGGCTGGTGGGAGCCACCCCAACCCCAGTGCGAGGGAGCAAGCAAGGTGCTCACCATGAACGCCTTCTTCTCCTCCATGGTCTGGAAGCGGCCATGGCCAAACTTGGAGGTGGTGTCGATGAACTTGAGGTCAATTTTCTCCAGAGCCCGCCGTTTGGTCTGCACCAACAGGGACTGTGGGCCAAGAGGGGCAGTTAGTTATGAGCGTCCAGGAAGTCACAGGATCAACTGAATCTCCTGAAGCCGAGAGCCCTCCGCCCCCAACGACCGCCATCTCCTGGCCCAACTCTGCCCCACCAGGCGGATGAGGACGCATGTGAACAAAGCAAACAGCCCCGTAAGACCAGGCTGGGAATTTCCTTGTCCCGGAACTTCAAAGCTTGCGTTAAAGCAGTACTCGAACCCCGCTTCCTCTGAACTTTCCTACCGCAGAGCGTCCGGGGCCTTGTGATCCTCCCAGCCACAGGATCCCAGAGGGCCACCCTCAACCAACCAGGAAGGGCACCGCCTCACCTTGCGGAGGGTGAGCACTCGCTTCTTGGTTCCCACCACACAACCTTTCAGCATCACAAAGTCATTGGTCACTTCACCGTAGTGGACAAAACCACCCTGAAATAAAACAAGGCCACAGCGTCAGCACAGACCAGGCAAGACAAACAGGGAATCGTTCTGTGGAAATGACTCCTCCAAGTTCAGGTCACCCCAGCCCCCCACACCAGCCAAGCCTGGCCACAGGGCTGTTCTCAGAAGGAAGGCAACAGGAATGGTTCCGCAGTCTGACTCGGGCGCTGTGCCCAGCGCGCATTCCAGGCCTCATCACTGAACAGCTGGGCTGAGACCACAGCAACTTGAGCTGCTACGAAGCTCACCTTTGTAGCCTTTGCCCTTGGTCACCCCGATGACGTCGATCATCTCGTCCTGCCCAAACACTTGGTTCACGGGGACCTGCTGCTCTAGCCTCTCCCGGGCCCAGTCCAGTTTTTCAGCCACGGTGCCTCCATTCACCTGGATCTCCATCAGGTGGGCCTTCTTCTGGCGCAGAGGAAGCAGGCGCATCTAGGAGGACAGACACAGCTTAGCTCCGAGCTTCAAGTGCTCCTCTGGTGGCAGAGGCACTGAGGCTGGGGCTTGCACTCTGATATCAAAGACGTGACAGGAAGGCTTTAACTCAAACAAGTTACCCTGAACCGCACACAACAAAAAAGTACCTTCGTTTCTGCCAGTGCCAACAACTCAACTTTGGATTCTGGTGCCAGAATCACAGTCAGGATGAGCCAGTGGGGCTCATCACCAAGACTAGCAACAAGCAGATCCCGGCACCCACCAGCCCAATGTTCTGTCTCTGCCCTGGCCATTTCCTGGGGCCGGTGGTGCCAGTTTTCCCCTAGCCACCCATGCTTGCTCTAGTAACAAGCCTGCTTTCAGGGAGAACACAGAAGCCGAGGGCACCGCTTGACGGATTAAATGAGGACTCGCACTTAGGCACAAAGCTTTCATTTTAAGGGTAGCCCAGCAATGTCCTCCAAGACTTTCAAGGACAGAAATGTACTGTTACCTGTGCTAATATACAGAGGTCCCTAGCCATATGGGGCCGTACTGAGCACATGAAACAGCCAGAGGCACCATCCTAACCAGGCCAACAAGGGGCTGAAACAGCTCACAGCAAGTCAGGTTTGAAGAAGAGCATCCAGCCAACATTTCATGACTACTTTCAGTGTGGCATTTCAGTGTTTATCAGAGCTGAGTCAACCAGTTGAATATTCCCCAAATGGGGTATGGTTTCCCTTGCTAAGAGCCAGGAAGGACACAGTGCCCTCTACTGGCAACCAAGAGGCTTACTCACAAATGTGGTGATACTGGACCCTTATATTCAAAACCTCACATGGTAGGTCACCTCCAAAGAAAGGAAGTGGCAGGCAGTTACCCACTCCCCTTGGCAGCATGGTGGTGCTTACCTGGGTGTGGGCAATGATGCGAATGACTTGGCAGTACTTCTTCATGCTGCTGAAGTCCTTCTCCAGCTGCTTCTTGCCATCCTCATCCTGCCATTTCTTACAGTACTTGGTGAAGGCCTTCTTCTTAGATTTATGCCTTCAGGAGCAGAGCAGAGTTGGGGAGGGCCCGGGTGCAGGCCTTCATCACCCCTCAGGAGGGGTGAGCGGAAGGCACAGTGGCACCACATGGGGATGGGGCTCATTGCCGGCTTCTAAGGAGCCTTTTCCACCGGCAAGCGGAGCCTAGATGGAGCTCATCGGGCAGAGCCGAGAGGAGCTGAGCAGAGGTCCACAAGGTTAATTTAAGTCACACATGTTCAAAACACACAAATTCTCACTCCAGGGGTGCTAAAAAGCAGCTTCCTCTACCTTGGGAAAGGCACCATTCTCACAGTGAAGAAGGTAATGGGAAATTCAGGCCAGGACCCGAGGCCCCTGCCATCCTTTCTGGGGTTGAATTACCCTGCTCAGCCTTTCCGGTTTCCAGTTGGACTTAGCAAACAAGGGAATTACTGGATCCGGAGCCAACATCCAGTGTGGACACAAAATTAAGGTGTCAGCTCCCAGCTCAGAAACCCAATGGCTGGTGGTAAAGGTCTGTCTCCCGATCGTTCTATGCTCATGAGGCAACTAACCCTGAGAATTGAGCAGCTCCTCCCCTGCTACATAACTGAGGCCCCACACAGGGTGCTCCCTGCTCTCCAGCCCCTAACCTAGGGACTGCGAGCCTGCTCCTCCCTTACCAGTTCTTGTAGAAGCGCCTTTTGCACTCGTCGCTGATATGCTCCGCAAAGATGGTCTTGAAAGTCCGGAGGCCTCGAGGAGTTTCCACATAGCCCACGATGCCTACGACCACCATGGGCGGTGTCTCCACGATGGTCACAGCCTCCACAACTTCCTTCTTATTCACCTCTGGGGGTGGAGAGGAAAGCAGGTAGTCAGACTTCAGTGAGCTGACAGGACCCCCTATTTAGGCCAGTCTGAGAGCAACCTGCTTCAGATGACAGGGAAATTTATGTGAGGCCCACACCAGCAGTCTGAAACCCCAGGGCTGTCCTTACTACATACTTCTCATTCTCCCTGCATCCACACCTGTTAACTTAAACCAAAAATACCATGACCCTTGCTCTGTATAGTCAGTGCTTGAGAGAAAGAGAAAAAATCAAGACCTAGTCAGCCAAACACCAGTCTGGCTTCAGTTCTCTTCCTTCTATCACAAATCTCTAGAGATAGACAAATTTGTTATTTATCTTGACAGTACAGAATCCAACGTATAACAGGGTGTAGTAATAAGCTCTGAACTCGGCGTGGAATAGAAAATGCCACCCAGTGTTACTATCTATCATGCCTCAGTGACAAGTGCTGTGTTCTACTTAGTGATTCTTCCAGTTTTAACTTCACCAAAACCCATGTATCATTCAAGCTTTTCAGTGACACTCACGGGAATGTGGCACTTTCTATCCCAGCCTCTAATCACCCAAGCTAGCGTACTTCTCCCATGCTGTGGCTCTTGGAAAATTTATTCACATCATGCCCCTGGACTTCAAAATACTCCTCTGCCTAAAGCCAGCAGTGCCAGACATCTGTAATCTGTCGATTAGTACTAAAGATTAACATTCCCAATCAGAAGGATTCTGATAACCTACATTTCCCCACCCTCGACTCCCATCCCCCCCCAACTTGGAGGATGCAGCCTGTACGTACTTGATCCTGGCCTATCGACTTCCCGCACGATGTGGGTCATGCCAGCCTTGTATCCCAGGAAGGCTGTGAGGTGGACAGGCTTGGACGGATCATCCTTGGGGAAGCTCTTCACCTTCCCACGATGCCTGCTGCTGCGCTTCCGAGGCAAGAAGCCCAAGGAACCGTGTCTGGGAGCTGAGAACTTCCTATGAGACTGGGAAAAAACGACAGTATTAGCACACAAAACCCTCCAGTTCAGTTCCCAGCTGCCAAGCTCGAAACAGTCTCAGCAGTGCTGAATCTTAACCAGACCTAAACCCAGCAAAGCTGGTAACAGGATTATATGCCAAGTTCACTTTTCCCAGGATCACACACGTCCTGAAGAGTGTATCAAAACTCAACAAAATTTGAGCTGAACCTTTATTCCAACTCATCTCAATTTTTAAAAAAATTAGCCATTTACACTTTTTCCCTTTAACATCAGAGAAAAACATACTAAGTAAAAGCGTTAAAAACCGCCCAACAATTGGCTTTATTAACAATCATCTAGAATCTGACCACCAACAGCACTTATGGATGGGACGAACGGCTGGGTAGTAAGCAATTGTACTACAGACAACTCCAGCTCCGGGACAAGAGCTAGACTGACACACGTAGGCCGCTAGAACTCGACAGAACCAAATCAGAACATGACAATCAGCACAGTGTCTCTGTCCGCCCGTCAGTAAGTTCATCACCTGTGGTTTCTGCGAATTCCAGAAGCCTTTCGAGTTGCACCAACCGTCCCAGACCCCAGAAGGGAGCCTCAACCCTCATCCGCAGTCTTCCCTCCCGCAAGCTTTTACAGCTCCCCGTTTGTAAAGAATAGCGCCTAGAGCGCCGCTCAAGGTCCTCCCGGCCCCGCATACTACTCACGGAATCTCATCTCGGTTAAGGCTAAAATAGGTGAGGTTGTGACCCAGAAAAAACCCGTCAATTTAGAAGTGTCGGGCCGACAGCCTGCTCCCACACCAAGGCCTCTCCGGCAGACATGCAGGCCCTGGACCAATCCTCCACACGCCCTTCTCCACGAGCCTCCCCAATTTCCAGAAAAGAGACCTGAGAGCGGCCCACACCGTGTCTCCTACGCTCCTAAAGCAGATCTTTGGCACTGGCGAAGCCGGGATGGCGGCGATGGGCCGCGGATTCAGCCACGCCAACGCCGGGGACGAGACGGAAGGCCCGTAACAATACGTACCATCCTGCCGCCAAATCACTCCGCTAGAGGCCGGCGGGCTCCCGGCGCACGCTATATAAGACCAAGTCTGGCTCCACCCTTTCCGGCGTGCGAGCGCGCGCCCGCGGCGGACGCCGGGTCGGGGGTCACGCCCCGGGCACGATTTCCACGCACGCTCTTTCACGCCTAGCGTTCGTTCCGAGCTGAACGTCAGCTTGTGAGACAAAAATTAGAGATTCTACGGCGCGTGGTTGGGTTCAAACTTAGCGAAAAGCCGCGGATGCGCTGGTTAAGCATTTGGAGTGCAACGAATCTACGGCGTTCGGCAGAAGCCAAATTTAATAATGATGAAGAAAAATGGCTGCGTCGCTTCTTGTTGTGTGACATGCTGTCACCTCTGGAATTTGAAAGACTGAAACCCCAGTTTCCTGGCTCTCGACCTGGTTTTTCCAACTTGCCTCTTGATTTCGTGCACCCCCTCCCTCAAGCCGTTTCTCGGCCATTGCTCTCGGTATCCAGCTGCAGTGGCCCGCGCTTGATTCAGAGTCTCTGAGTTGCCGAGGTGCTTCCCAAGTCTGCCAAACGGTCTCACGACACGGGGTCGTGAATTGTTTTTTTTTTTAATTTCAGGGCTGCAGACAAGGGATTATGACCTGTATTGTCCCCTTTTTACAGAGAACACTAAGCTTCTGGCTAAGATGTTATTTACTTAACAAAAGCCATATAATTAATGAAGGACAGAGCTCAAGTCTGTCTGACTCTAGGTTGAGTTTTCACGACACAGACTTGGGGTTCAGTAACCCCCTCGTTGGAAAAGGAGCTTTGGAGGCATGAGCAAAAAGAAATTCTTACTCAAATCCTGCTGTGTGCCAGGTGCTGCACCAGGCCGCAGGAATACAGAGGGGAACAAGATGGCCACTCTCACAGACCAAATAAGACTATTTAAGGCTGGGCATGGTGGCTCATGCCTGTAATCCTAGCACTCTGGGAGGCCGAGGCTGGAGGATTGTTTGTCCTCAGGCTTTCGAGACCAGCCTGAGCAAGGGCGAGACCCTGTCTCTACTAAAAATAGAAAGAAATTAGCCGAACAACTAAAAATATATAGAAAAAATTAACTGGGCATGGTGGCACATGCCTGTAGTGCCAGCTACTCGGGAGGCTGAGGCAGGAGGATTGCTTGAGCCCAGGAGTTTGAAGTTGATGTGAGGTAGGCTGATGCCACGACACTCACTCTAGCCTGGGCAAAAGAGTGAGACTCTGTCTCAAAAAAAAAAAAAAAAAAGAGCCAATGGTGGCTGCCCGGGGCGGGCAGTGTTGAAGGACTATAGAGAGTGACTGCTAATGGGTACCAGCTTTTTGGGGGGATGATGAAATGTTCTGAAATTGATTGTGGTAATGGTTGTACAATTCTGTGAAAATACTAAAACCCACTGAAGTGTATACTTCAAAATGGTGAGTTTTATGGTATGTGAATTGTATCTCAATTTTTTAAAAAGGAAACCATTGAATAGATTTAAGCTGGAGAATGACACGGCTTGTCTGCATTTCAGCAAGAACGTGCTTTGGCCGCAGAGTAGGAAACAGACTGGAGGCCGAGAAACCCTGATAGTCATGAGGCTGTGGCAAGAGGTTTGGTGCCAGGTGAGGGTGACCTACACATGTGAGGTGGCAGTGGACATGGAGAGAGAAGGTCCCACCCAAGAAGTATGTATTTATGTATTTATTGGGGGGCAGGCAGATGAGGGAGAAGGAGGGAAAGAAAAGGGGGTGAGAAGAGGTATGGAGAGAGGGCCAAGAGGTATTTAGATGGATGTTTTAAAGATATGTAGTCATAAGTGAGATGTGCAGAAATATGACTTTATCTCTCCATAATTGAACTTAACTTTGTTCTTGTGTTGATTTTTTAAATGCCCTCAAAATACTTTG